GATATAAATATTATGTAGTATAAACATAATCTAATTTTTTATATTTGAGATACATATAAACATTATAATTTCAGAAAATATATTAAAATATATTAATTATACTTTAAAATGGAAGGATCATAAGGCGTACCCAGAAAAGGTGATCCCTTCGCATTCCATGCCTGCTTCAAGGTAGCCTCCATCTTCTATAAATACAATATTATTTACAAATTGTAATAAGTATTCTAAGCTTTATACATGCTAACCGGACAAGATATAAACAATTACAATTTGTTCAGATGTCGGTTTGCCTAAGATTTTCTGTTGCTGATTCCACATTAATTCTTGCACTTTCATTTGTTCTTCTGGCGCCATATCGTTAAAATGTTTTGAACAGTCAATCTTGTTCAAGTCAATTTTCGGTTCATCAACAATTAAGGCTTCCCACCACCTTTCCATAGCTTTTTCAAGATGAATCTATAAATACAAATAGAATAAGTAGATACTAAATACATTCGAGGAGATCGTTAAACAGTTAAGATTGAATGTGTTTTACATAAACGCACACTAATTTGTTTCCCAGCTTCAATGCTCCATATAGATTCATCTCTTCGAATTTTAAAACTAAACTTGCCATTGAAAATGTTCTCCCATTCAGAATTTGCTGATGAAACAGAAGGCTTTCCATCAATCTTGATTTCATTTGAGCTTATGTCAACTTTGATTGTATCTTTGGATGCTTTTATATGTTTTGGTATTTTTATAATCACATCCAAATCATTGAGAGTCTGAGTCCAAGTATAATTTTCCCTTACAGCTCCGTTGTAACTGTCTGATATATGGTCTGTATTAGATTGTACGAAGAATGGTTTAATATTATTGGCTTCATTACATGAATCAATTTCAATTTCCTGCGCCACTGGTGGTGTAAGTCTGTAATTTTCTCTTTGTGTCAAAACTAATTGATTTGACATACTATTGCTGCTGTTTGCATTATCAATTAAAGGCAATTCTGTTTTTCGTAAAGATGTAGCGTTTCTCCACTTGTACATGGTATTTAATACAAGTTTCTCTGCTATTCCTGGTGGGAAGCCTAATTTTTGCTCCGAATTCGATTCGACATAAAAGTCTGTGCTGATATTGTAAAATTTATTATGTAAAACGAAATTTTATTTCTAAAGCATTGATACATCTAATACTTACCACCTATTTAAAAATCCAAAAAAGGAGTCCAAAAAATTATTGATGTTTTTTTCTTCACGAAGTATGTGCAAAAACGTTTGATCGTGATTGGATCCCATGACTGAAAAGATCTCGTAAAGTCCTACAGATATTTATTATACTACAGATATTTATTATACATCAATTATTAAATACATGAAAAGGATAAATTATTCGCTCAAGAAAATTCAATTATTTTGAACACACTCGCGTTTCAGCTACTATTTCAAATTTCTAAAGATGTTTATCTTAACCTATACTATAACACTCCGACTACTCCGAGTCGTAATATCTAATATATTGAAAATAATAAAGCAGTTGATACATATACTTGATAAAATTCTAGTAAATTCTTTCTCTTAAATTCTTTAGAATCTAAATCAGAGTGCGAAAAATTATCGTCCGCTTGTTTATCTTTGGAAATATTTCAGTAGCATGTCGAATAACAGCAACATGGGATTTCTTCTTTATTGTATTAAGCTAGTCACACACAACTTGCCGTAACAGCAATAGTAAGGTTTTCGACCAATCGGGTTGCTCGATTGTTACGGTTACGGACGACCAAATCGAGCAACGCGATTGGTCGAAAACCTACGTTACATTTACGATTATTATTTTGTACAAAATTCACGATTACTGTTTTGTACAAAATTCACGCACTAAATTAACTTGTTTAAATTTTTAATTTCGTTTCTTAAAATGCAACAACTTTTATTTACATATGTAGGAGATGCGAAATAAACATTTTTTTCGTTCAAGAACCCAAAATAAAAATGGTTAAACTATCCCTCTTATGAATAATCGGCACGCTTTTGTCCTGAAGATTTAAATACAGAAACGAACTACATCTACTTTCGTTTATTTCGATTTTATCAGTGATTTTATTTAGTGTCAGAAAATGTATGTAGTCACGTAGTTCCCAAACTGAAAATGCATGTACTGGCAGTACGAGTGATTTCGACAGTAAGAAAGCCAGCGTGGCTTCTTTCAGGTTTCTGTCTGGTTATACTGACTGTATTCCAAAATTGACTGCCAGTACTGGAAATCTATAGTGCACGTAACGTAAATTGTAGCATTTTTCAGTGCTGGCAGTAAATTTGGAATCATTGGATAAACTGTGCAAAAAGTTCAGCTAAAAAGAACAGACCTACATTTTATTATCAACAAGATGGCGCGTTTTACGCTTGCCATCTGACGCTCTCGAAAATGTCAAAGTGGTCTGCAGATGGCTGTCATTTACAAATAAATGTAAATAAATCGAAGTACTCCAGTTTCAGTAGTATCGTGAAAGAAATAACTATTAGTTGTTAGTGAATCTTGTCAAATTACGTATGATAAAAAGAAAACGGAAAAAGAACAACGTTTGTTCTTATATTGCTGAATATTATATATAAAACATTTTTACATATAAAATACTTGTCGATTCAACTACAACAAATATTAAATAATTTGCAAAATCTCAGTTTACCATATATAATTAGCGATTCAACTGCAGTGATAACGCGTCGCCCAAGAAAAACTACTCTCTCTCGGTTATACTCTGATATAATTATAGTCTGATTAATTATGGCAAGCGTTCCTGGTTTTACATTGGAAACTGCGAAAGGTAATTAGAAATCTATAAGATAATTGTTTTTTATAAGAAGTTGTATATTATTACAATTCAACTCGTTTATTATACGAGTTCGTTGATAACTTAAATATAAATAAATATATATGTATGTATATATATTAAACATAATTATTTTTGAAATATAATTGTATAATTATAAATGTACAATAAAATATATGAATAAATATTTTTTTCTTTCAGCTATACTGACCGATGTTCTAACAGCACTAAATACACCTGAAAACTTGCAAAAGCTTACAGAAGCAAAGGAAAGTTCCGGCAATGAGATGTTGAAAATGATGCAGTTTGTATTCCCACTAGTAACACAGATTCAAATGGATATCATAAAAAATTATGGATTTCCGGAAGGAAGAGAAGGTGCGTAGATTAAGAGTACAATAAAAATAAATCTGATAAAAATAGAGTTAAAAAATTAATCATGTGCACACGAAGCAGGTACTGTACAATTTGCGCAGCTCATTCGGGCTTTAGAAAGAGAAGATTCTGAAATAGCACAGCTACATAGTCAGGTTCGTTCATACTTTCTTCCACCAGTTACGATAAACTCTTCGACTGAAGCATCTCTTTAGATTAAAACAAGGTCTCATCTAAAAAAATCTATATGTATACCATTTTTATCTAAAGACTATATTAAGTTAATAAGGTAAGGACAATGTTTGTAGAAAAAGTGAAGAAAAACTTATTCCATGCATTTATATGAATGTTACATATCCATTTTTTTCGTTATATATACGTATATTTTTTAAATATTTTGATAAACCGATTGTCATTAAAATCTGTTTTGTAATATCTTAATAGGAATATTTGTGTAAAAATTTTTTAGTATTAATGAAAATATTGCAATATTCTTTCTCTATTCTTTTATAGAACAATTTAATTAAATGTATAGATTCCAGTTAGTGTAATCAAATCTGTATATACAAATCTTCTGGAGAAAAGTACCAAAGGAATTTTAAATGTTTAATTTGAGAAACTTATATATTTTTATATTTATTTATATAATTATATTAATAAGTATATCATTATAATCTACTAAAATATATAATATTTATTTATATATAAATGTTCTTTAAATTCTTTTTCCTGCAATTACATGAGCTCTAAAAGCTAAACAAAAAATTCCACTGTTCGCACAGGGATGAAGCTGTGTACATCATGATTTATATATTAATTACTTAAATCTTAAATAAAATAGGTAAAAAAGATGCAGATCTACATAAACGAAACCAGAGTATACAGGATGGTGTGGTACATCATCCTATATTCAACAGGCACAATGGCTAATAGAATCGTTTATATTTTCAAATCAGACAATGATTGTATAATTAAATCTCTACACGTTATTATACGTATTATACATTTTAACTTCATGTCCTGGCGAACATCTGGATAAATACATATTAAATATACAATTTCACTCATATAAGCAAGTATATTAAAATTGCATATAAAGCCAACAGAAAGTATAGATTTAACGATAAATAATACATTGGAATTACTTGACGTTTACTTAGAGCAGCTTGAATCGTGCAACTTCTGATTTACTTGAATGAGAGACAAAAGCAAATATAGTTCCCCCTTGTCAATGTTATATATTGATCTTTTTGTATAAAACTGTAAAAATACGATATTATTTAAAAAAAAAAAAAAATGCTGAGATCGTATAAGATTTCAACGTTTAAAAAAACTTTTCTTATAATCTATAGCAACATTATTTATAAACGGACATTTATTGTGAAATAAATAATATCAATACGTAATATCAGAGCGGTATGAATGACATACACAAGCATATATATGGTAAATTATATATACATATAGTAATATATATATATATATTTTACTCTGTGTGTGTGTGTGTGTGTGTGTGTGTGTGTGTGTGTGTGTTTATAGTAAATTTAACAAAAGAAATAACTCAGCAAATTTTTTTATGAATACGAGATTGACAAGTATAACAATTTTCAAATGTCCACTAAAAATTTCTTGTATAATAACACTGTAAACGCTTGACAAATGGGGAACAATGTGCTTTAATATATGTACATTTCTTATAAATAAAAAGACACGCCTGCATTTGTATGCGTCTTGTATGTTAAAAAAAATCTTGATTCATATTTTTGTCATGCGAATTTAAAAAATATGGATAGGCAAAACCTCTCTTGTAGACTTGTTATAAATTTATCCTACGAGCGATATTGAGCTCTTACATAATTTTGGACGTTGACGCAAATGTTAAATTGATTAAAGTGGATTAGAAATAACGCTGTTATTTCGATTTAAATATCGATGATTTTCGAATGCGATAGACAATTCTTATCGCTTTTGAGTTTGATTCTTCAGCTATATTAAATCTGCATGAACATGCACAGAGTCAATTAAAATCAGAAATCCGGATAGCAAAAACAATACGGATTATTTTCTTAATGTTCGTATCGTTTAGTGGATGCTACTTTTACAGTTGCATTTTCATTTAGAAGTGCCTTGGTGTGCCATAGGTCGCAGTACGTCATTCGTGAATGACTGGCTATATAGCTATATAAGAAATTCGTGTACACTTTGCAACACAGTAGCTGCCCGTATTACGGATTCTGTATTAAAAAGCAAGCCACAACATCGAATTTTTTTACAGACCATAATCGACACATCTTAAGTGTATAACGGTGAACGGAACTCTGTTCGTTACAATGGGTCTGTTTTTTATTCCTGCACTAGAATTTTTTCTCACTGTGGCCAAATATTAAACATATACCTATTTCACTTTTGAGTTCCAAAAGTGTACACTAGTTCAGTTATAAAAAACAGACTTATAATGCTTTTGCAAATCATGATTACAGTCTCACGATCTCATTTTTCCCTTTTTTTTACTATAGAAAACGCGTGTATACAAAAACGCATAAACTGATCTCAAATTATCAGCTTTACATTCTTTCTCAGCAATAACTTTACTTTCTTCCCCAGCAGTGAAGTAATATTGCTGAGCAATCTTCCCCTGAATTGATTTATACATAGAAAATAGATCATATAGAGAAAGAAGTGTATATAAAATCTAGTCGTACTTGGGATTACTTAAGCGTTCAAAGTTAAAACATGATTTGTATTATTATGTTGTACCTTTTAACCATCCAACCATCACTTAATTACCAATATGCCACGCTTACTAGTTAATTATGTAGGTGATTATTCCACAATAAAGTTCAAGAAGCGAATACATGCAAAGGAAAATTTAAAAGAAAAAGAAGCAAAAGAGACTTTTGCAATGAGCATAAGTGCACTGCAATATAGTTTATCGAAAAGTAACATTTTAAATTATTAATAAAATTTCATTGATGGGGATGTTTCTTCCGTCTTCTTATTGGTCTTATTCACATTTGTCCCTGTTTGCCCATAATTGCTATAAGTAAAATCATATCTCTTTTTACCGTTAACCGAAATCTATACCGTAGTAGTACATGTAGCACTGCGGATCACGTTTCGAGGGACGCAGTAATTACAAAGTTTTCGATTGATCGATCAGGCTACGAGAGGAACGGATTAGCCGTAGTTGTATTCGCTGTCCATGGATCCTGTCGAATCTGATTGATTGTAGGACGGGGTGGTGGCGTCACAGTTGCAAATGGATTTGCTGAATATGAGATGGTTGCTGTAAAATCGTTTGTTTGTTAGTAAAATAACTCTTGTTGTGTGTGTGTGCTCACGAAAAGCAAGATCAATCATTTAAACGCTTTTGAATATATGATGTCCAACATAAATCAATATCTTAAAAACCTAAAATGTTACTTTTTGATCTGGAAATAAAAAGAGGTATTTTTACATATATAGAGTGTATCGCAATTGTTGGCAAAGCGCTTTTGTGTAGACAGAGCGAACTAAACTGCGTCAAAAAGTCCTCTACCATTTTGCAATTTTCACAATGTTAATGAGATATTAATTTATAAAAATAGCCAAATTCGCTCGGCCTACCGCCAAATGCAAGTGCACGGCTTTAGTGGAATTAATAAAATGAAACATTGCGCATAATGGCAGTAGCAATACTGGAAATATGCCCCAATATGCACTTTTCTATGTACAATAACGCTAGTTATACTGGAACAGCTGATCAAATATTACCCAAATTTACTTCTCTTATTGCGCATCTACGAGAGTGCTTCATCTTATTAATTTCGCTATGTGCGCGGTGAAATAAGACCGCCCAGAGAGATGCACGTTCTTCATCGTTAGGCACGTTTTTTACAAGTGACATTGGCATTAACGTGCCTTATATAACGACAAACGTGCACCTTGGGTTGTTATCTCGTCGCCCGCTTACATTTGGCATTCAGACCGAGCGAATTTTGCTATTTTCATAAAATATCTTGTTAACCATTTCGAAAATTGCAAAATGATAGAGGACTTTTCGACTTAGTTTAATCCACTCTATCTACGAAAAAGCGTTTTGTCAAAAATTGCAGGACACCCTGTATATATAATATAAATTTCTTATTTTTCACTTTTATTTGATAAGATTGATTGTTCTTTCAAGATATTGATTTGGACTTTCAATTCTTTAATTGTCCAATATATAATTTAACATTTGTTAATTCATTCCACATAAACAAATGCATATTACAAGAGAGAAAGAGAGAAAGACGGGGAGGGGAGAGAGAGAGAGAGATAAAATTAAGAATATTTTGAGAAAATTAATATTTAAAAAGAATGACCTATTTAGAAAAGAAAAGAAAATCTACATATTCAGTATGTTAGAATATCGCAAGATATATATTCGAAGAAAGATTCAAATCACAGTACTCTTAAATAAAAAAATAATATACTGTTGACGTAACATATGAAAGACATCATTGTAATAAGCATTACACTGCACATAATAGTTACCATGCATTCATTCATGCCATATTTTTAATCATATTATTCATACTCACGAACTTTATTTCCAATGAAACGCTATTTTGTAGACATAGAATATTATAGCGTAAAATATATCTTTTTTATTTTATGATATTTAAACTGAATATTACATTCATTATGCTTGATCTTTATGAATTATCACATAATAGGAGTTATATTCAAATATATGTCAACTAATTCATAATATATGTCAACGAAAGATATTTCGAATACTGGACTTCTCTTTCTCGATATTTATACCTTCTAGCTACAAAAACTTACCCGCTGGCGCAGGAGCTGATGGCTTAATCGCCGTAGCGCTGACAAGATTATCTAAATTAACAAGTGCAGAGTTTTCTCCTAAAAAGGATTGTGGTGTCTTTTTCACAGCACCAGTGCTGGCAGGAAGAGTTTCAGCTATGCCACCCAGATCGAAAGGATCTCCTCCTGATGATGTACTACCTATTTAAAAATCATATAACTTTATTACATAATTTCAGCACACATTAGTGCTGTTTTATAAAAAAATTTTATATAACTTAAGTACCGTTGTTCACTGTCTGCGGACTCGCTTCGAGTTTTCCCCTGTTAGTAATCACATCAAATTCATCTAAATCGCTGAGGGGACTCGTTGCAGCGCCATTGTTTTGAGTAGGAAAGTTATTGAAGCCTGGCCCTGTGCCGTTGAAACCATTGCTAGTGCTGAAGGTAGTAGCGGCTGAAGATACTGGTGGCAAATTGAAACCTATATTTTGAGGCGACGATATCGCGAAGCCGATGTTTTGTGTTAAGTTTGAATTGTTG